TTTGCAAATTAATAAATAAGATACATCACATAAACTAATCAAGAGAAAAACTTCACACAATCATATAAATTCAGGAAGATAGAAATCATATGAAGCATCTTCTCAGATCACAATGGCATAAAATTAGAAATCAACTACAATAAAAAGAATAAAAAAATCAAACACAATAAACTCAAAATGGATAAAAGACTTAAATGTAAGATGGGAAACCATAAAAATCTTAGAAGAATCCCTAGGCAGCAAAATATCAGACCTATGTCATAGCAGTATCTTTACCAATATAGCTCCTAGGACAATAGAAACCAAGGAGACAACAAACAAATGGAACTACATCAAAATAAAAAGCTTTTTCAAAGCAAAATAAACCATCAACAAAACAATAAGGGAGCCCACTGCATGGGAGAACATATTTGCCAATGTTATCTCTGATAAGGGTTTAATATAAAAAATTCACAGGGATCTCATACAATTTAACAAAAGGAAGTTAAACAATCCAATAAAAAATGTGTAAAGGTCCTTTAGAGGTACTTTTCAAAAGTAGACATACAGAAGGCCAAGAGACATGAAAACATGCTAAAAGTAACTAATCATCTGCGAGATGCAAATCAAAACAACAATTCGGTACCATCTCACACCTGTCAGAATTTCTATCATCAACAATTCAACAAACAAGTGCTGGTGAGGATGTAGAGAAAAGGAACCCTCCTGCACTGCTAGTGGGAATGCAGACTGGTGCAACCACTGTGGAAAACAGTAAGGAGTTTACTCAAAAAATTAAAAATGAAACTCCCATTTGACCCAGTAATCCCACTTCTAGGAATAGATCCCAAGAAATCAAAAACACTAATCAGAAAGGATATATGTACCCCTATATTCATAGCAGCACAATTCACCATAGCTAAGATTTGGAAACAGCCTAAGTGCCCAGATGAATGAATTAAAAACCTGTGGTACATCTGCACAATAGAATACTACACTGCTATAAAAAAGAAGGAACTCTTACCATTCACAATATTATGCTAAGATAAATAAGCCAGTCGGAGAAAGATAAATAGCACACGATCTCACTATTTGTACAATATAATGAACAAGATAAACTGATGAATAAAAATAGATCCAGAGACAGAAAATCATTGAACAGACCATCCAACCTTAGAGGGAAGGCATGAGAGGGTAGGAGTGAGGGTAAGAGATCAACCAATGGATTTGTATGCATGCACATCAGCATAACCAATGGACACAGACAGTGTGTAGGGAGCAGAGGGGAGGGCATATAGTGGAAGGTTGGAGTGGCTGAAGAGAGGTCAATGGGGGGAAAAAGGAGGCATATGTAATACTTTAAACAATAAAAATTTAAAAAAATTGCTCTGGTTTCCCCCAGAGCATGTATCCATCCCTGGCTTCAGAGGCATCTGAGCTGGGGGAGAAGAGCCACTGTCTCCACAAGCACAGGGGCTGCATCTCAGCCAGGGTTCTTGGAAGCTACCACTGCAGAGAGCTTGCGAGCAGAAGGCAGCTCAGGTCCTGGCAGAGCAAGTATGAAAAATGGTAATTTCCTAAGCATGGGTTAGCAGTAGGCGTGTTAGGAGTGTTGGCTGCATCCTAGGAAGACCATACACAGCAGTGAGCATTCTTCCAAGGAGGAACGGTGAAATTTTTCCAAGGAGGAACAGTGAAATGGGACAGTGCTCCCAGCACACAGGGGAGCCAGGCAGAGGTGAGCTCCTGGTTCTTAGGGCTGGCCCTGGTGGAGACCAGAAGAGACTGTGGAAGGTTGGGAGGAGAGGAGCAGGGTGACAGCAGATGGAGGCTGGCTGTGCAGAGCCATGTGGGAGCAGGGAGCCCACGAGAAGCCCAGCACAAGTGTGGGGGCCAGGCCTGGAGAGCCAGCAGGGCTGGATGGACTACACATCAAACAGGTATCTGAGGCTCTCTGGCAGTCTTTTTCCCCTGGCATCCTATCCTCTTCAGCAGGCTAAGGGACCCTGGACCAAGGGGACCAGGCCTCAGCCTGAGTTTGCCAGCAACCTTATCTACAGCAAGTATATGCTAAAAATTAGTGCAAGGGTGTCGGAGGGCGAGGCTGAGGCTCAGCACACTCTCAGGCACAACTTTCTTCATTTTGGCAGAAGCTGAGAGTGGAGGCAGCTTTGAGATGAGTGTCTGGATGGGCAAGGATGGGAAAGAGCCCTGGAGGATGGGCCCTAGGCAGGTAGTGTAGGGAATGGGGTGCCAGAGTTGGCCGGCAGGGTCTAAAGCAGGACCGATGGTCCTGGGTTTATGGGCAATCAGCCAGTCTGTGCTCTGAAGGACCCTACCCTCAGGGCTTAATGCTGGGCACTTGCCAGTCTGGAAATTCTTCTTTTTTACACTTTGAAGTAAGTCAAGTTGGATGGGACAGGAAAGCCTTGGCTCATGTGCCTAGGACAGGTTCTTGGCTACCCGCTCTCTATCCTTTAACCACTGCTGACCTCTGCCCCTGGCAGAGGCCTGGTTGCAGTTGCCTAAAGGGTCAAGGTGAGTACATGTGCCAAATAGCGTCTCAAGCGGGGGTATGGCTGTGGTCATCCAACCCTGGGCAGGCAACCCCACACAAGTTTCAGAGGAAGTACGATCCAGGTGCTGAGGTGTGAAGAGCCTTGCCATCAGCCCTGGGTTGAAGCACTGGGCCCATGGGAAGGGGAGCTTCCAGGCTCACTGTCCCCAGACTGTCTAGGCAAGACTCAGAGCCATGGGTTTCTCCAGTGGTGCCTGTCAGCCCGGACAGGGCAGCTGTCAGGTCCCAGGGGCCCAGAACTGCCCATGGCCCATGCGGGAATCTGTGCCTAGGGGGACACTTTCTCCATGGGCTTTGTCTCTGGGGCTCCTATCTTCTTTCTTCTACTTCCTGAGTCTGGCTTGTGCTTTGCCTGAACTTCTGGGCACCTTGAGGCACCCTCTGCCATTAACCACAAAATACTCTGATGATTCTCCATATAAGTTAAATACTCGAATATGTGCATTTAAAACAGACTTTGTACAATGTAAAAATAAGTGGTAAAATTCATGCTAATAATTTAACATTCTAACTGTTCTTTATTATAGTCAATAAAGAGAAAACCTTAAAATCTTGACAAGTTGAGAGAGAGACTATAGGAGAAAGAAAAAATGATTTAATAGGTACCTTTTATGGTACTTTTTTGTGCTTTTTGAACAAGAGAACCACATTCTCATTTTGGTCCCAAAGTTTTGTGCCAGGAGACCATCTGGGTGTGGGTCTGCTGGGGCTGGCCAGTGTGACAGGAATGGCCAGGTGGTCTGTGAGGGTGAGGTTTGGGGAATGATGCTGCTGACAATAGGCCAGAGAAGTCACTCACTGCTGGGGCGTCCAGAGTGAAGTCCCAGAAGATTGACTTCCAGGGAGGCATGGAGTGCCAAACACGGCACCCAATGTAAAACTGGGGAGCCCAAGACCTCAGAACATGACTATACACAAACATGTGAGCTATCAAAAAACAATCCCACACAAAACAAAACAATGGCAAGCCACAAAACTGGGAAGACTATTTCCCACCCAGGCAACAGACAATAAGTTAACCTATCCCATACAATACTAGTAAAAGCTTAATATGCTAAGTGTCTGACCATTTGACCAGTCACTATGACTTGCACTGACCACCAGGGGGCAGATGCTCTGACTGGTAGGTTAGTTTGCTGCTGGGGTCCAGCCAAAGGGGATTGGGCTAGATGTGCCAGACATGCCTTGGAACACTCCTGCGGTCCCTTCCTGGCTCTGATCTTGCACTGGTGGGGTCCCTTGGCCTAGCCTGTGCCTTCTTGCAATCTGGGACCCCTTGGCATACTCCTCAAGGATAATTCTAGATGTGCTGTTGATGAATTAAGTACTGTTACCATCATGATAGCAAAACCACATTTTATTTAGTAACTGGACTGTTCACCTCCCATTATCTTATTTAATCTTTATCCTGAAATCCAAATTATTAATCAATTTTAAAGATGAGAAAACCAAGGCTCATAATACACGGCCCCACTACTTTCCAATTCCCCAGCTTTGGGCTTCCCTGACCACCTCCGGCCCCCTGCAAGCGCCTGCTCCTTCCACAGATCTGTCTTTCCCACCAAGATCCTACACACAGGATGAACCCTGCTCCTCCCTCCCACCCTAGCTTTCCCGACTGGGCTCAGCTGAGCTGAACACTGCCCCTAGGGCTTGCACTTGGAGAAGGGAAGCCTCACATCCTCATGGTGACCCTGACCAAGCATCAAGCAATGAGGGGAAGGCTCTCCCATACCAGACAGGGAAGAGGCAGGGCTGTGCCCTCTGGAGGCAGCATCCCAGTGCCTCCTGGGGTGGGGGGTGGGGACTGTCATGTGGGGGCAACTCCTTAATCTCTCCTGTTGGGTAAACAAGGGGGTGACACCTTAATCTCTCCCTATTGGGCAGACAAGGGGCAAGTGCCTCATCATGCCCAGAAGGCACAAGTGGCACACAAACACCCTATTACACAGCACAGCTTTGCAGGGAGAAACGGATCCCTCTTCAAGCTTCCATTCCTCTGCCTACTCCCGGAGAAGCCTGGATGGGTGCTAGTCTGTCTGTCCCCTTGGGGGGGGTACACACCGATATCCCCTCTTTATTGCTTTATGTTTTAGTTACCTTTATGTAAAGTGAGGTTGTTTCCTTTGTAAATAATTTTAAGTTTTAAAAAGTCAGTTCATTTATAGGAAAATACCCAGTCCAGGGCAGTGTGCTAAAAATAAAGAAAATGGAGACAAATGACTGGCGTTTGCAGAAATGGCCTCCGTGTGTAAACAGCCTAGCCACGTCAGAATATGCCCCAATGACAGATGAGAAAACTCAGGTTCAGCATGGCTGATGGGAAGGTTACACTTTCTCACCTGCGGACCCAGAGCGCTTCCTTGAAGCCACATCACTCATCCCTACATCCAGTAGGAAAGCACAGGTGCCCACCTGCACCTCCCTCCCCCGCCCCACTTACGATGTTCATGAGTGTGAGCAGGTATTTCTGCACGTGCTCCTTCCCGTGGAACTGGACCACAGAGTCGTCCACACCCAGCAGGACCTCGATGTTGTAGTCGTCATCGGCGGCGTGTCTGCGTGCCCTGCGCCTCGAGCTGTTGATCCGTTCCTCCAGGACGCCCAGGGTACGGCTGAGGCTGTCCAGGCTGCCAAGGGAGGCCCCTGGAAAGACAGAGGGCACAGTGTGCAGCTGCGGCCGGGCTCGCCGGGAACACAGCAGCAGCAGGACAAACTTGGCATCTGCCCAGCAGCAGCGTGGCCATCACCTTGTTGCAAACTTACATTCTTGTCCCATTTTACAAAACCACAAACGGAGTCTCAGAGATGGCAATATGATGTGCCACGTCAGCTCAAAATCAGCAGTATACAGATCAACTCCTCGGCCATTGCAGAGCCCTGGGCTGGCACCCAGGGACACACAGGGAGGCCAGGGAGCTGGGCTGTCCAGCCGGGAGTAGGTTCAAGGTGGCAGAGCCAGATTCTTTCACTCTTCACACACTCAACACTTGAGAAGGATTGTCCAGGTGCCAAAGGACTGGTCTCCCAAGTGTGGCCACCCTTGTTATTTTTTTAAATTTGCTTTTATTGATTTCAGAGAGAGGAAGATGAGAGAGAGAGAGCTAGGAACATCAATGATGAGAGAGATTCATTGATGAGCTGCTTTCTGTACACTCCCCTACTAGGGACTGAGCCCACAACCCGGGCATGTGCCCAACCGAGAATCAAACTAGTGACCTCCTGATTCATGGGCTAACCCTCAACCATTGAGCCACATGGCTGGGTAAGGCCATCCCTGGAGAAACTGAGGTCCAGCCCAGGTGGTGTATATCCCACAGTGTCTTCTCAGGCAAGGTTCCTCACCCTGGGCCAATTCCACCCATCCCATTCCATGGTCATGACTTCCCATAAGCACCCTTCCCCAGGCCAAGGAGATGGGTGGCTGCCTGAATGAACTGTGCAGGGACCAGAACAAGACCTTCTCAATTAGAGAAATGGCCTCAGTGTATAAACAGCCTTGCCATGTCAGAATACGCCCTATTGACAGATGAGAAAACTCAGGGTCAGCATGCTGATGGGAAGGTTACATTTTCTCATCTGACCAGGACAAGACAGCTCCCTCACAGTTTTCTGGGCAGGGTCTCGCCTCCAGCCCCCACAGGTTTGACACCTGGCCCGGGCTGGGGGTGGGGTGGGGCCTAAGGGGCCTCAGCTGAGAGGCCCAGGGCCCCAGGATGTTATTTCAGCATCTGAACAGCTGTAGCTGCCAGCTCAGTTCCCTTCGCCTTTCCCACTGGGCTAGGGCCCGCCCTGCACTGTTCCCTGACCCCAGGTCCTGCTTCTCCTTGGCATTCCCTGAGTGTGAGGGAAGGGTTTTCAGAGACTCCTGTCTTTGGAGGGACCTTGGACCTCAGGTCATTGTGACATCGCCAACCAAGGGGGTGGTGTCCAGGCCTTGTGGCCCCTGAAGGTGAAGTGGTGCTGAGAGCCCAGCTCAGCTTTCAGTACCCCTGAATAGCACCCCTCTTTTTTTTTTTTTTTAAATATATATATATTTTATTGATTTTTTTTTACAGAGAGGAAGAGAGAGGGACAGAGTTAGAAACATCGATCAGCTGCCTCTTGCACACCCCTTACTGGGGATGTGCTCACAACCAAGGTACATGCCCTTGACCGGAATCGAACCCGGGACCCTTCAGTCTGCAGGATGAGGCTCTATGCACTGAGCCAAACAGTTTTCGGCAGCACCCCTCTTAAGAGTCTTCCAAAAAGTCTTCTCACTTGGCCCCAAAGCCTTTTGTCTGCTGCCTCCTCCATGCAGGGCAGGACTCCCACACATCACAGTCTGCAAGACAGGCCTTCTGAGAGCAGTATGGCCGCTCATGGACAGGTCGGGCGGCCTGCCGCTGGGTGGGTCCTGCTCCAGCACTCAGCCCTGTACAGACGTCACTCATGCAGTACAGGCAACAGGCATTTTTTAGGTGCATAACTGTCCCCATTTTATAGACAGGAGGGCTGATGGAACCCCCTGCATGGCTGACTCTCAGCCAGAAGCTTTCTCCTTTACACCTGCTGTCTGTTAGCTTTGAGGCACAAACCTGCAACTAGGTCACAGCACAGAGACCAAGCAGAGAGAGTGGACTCCATGGCGCTCTGAGAAAAAGTGGGATGCAGGACAGGAGGTACAGGAGGAGCAGCGTGTGGAGCAACAGAGAAGAGGAGTCAGTTGGGTCAGGACTGAGTAGCATCTTGCATTCCTGTTTGTCCTGGGGTTCTTGTGTCCCCTCCCCGCTCTGCAGTCCCCTGCACACTGGTCCATGCACAAACACATGCACGTGGCCAGGGCAGCGCTGGGGAGGCAGGCATGCAGCATCCCCTGCAGAGCCAGTGCCCCGCTGGGCTTCTTGGAGACGACTCAGGAACATCCTTGCTGCTCCCAGAGGACAGATCGGTGACTTAAATCTGATGGGGCTTTGAGGAATTGCTATTCTATTTTTACACATTTATTTCCTTGCATTTCTAACAAGCAGGGACAGCTCACCTTCAGAACCACCTTGGGAAGCACAGAAATAGTAATAATCCATGCGGTGCTCCCTTGAGGAAGAGGCTGGATGTTGTCTGCCCCTGTGGAGCAAGGGGTCACTGATGGGTGGTCCCTGGGCAGAACCAGCCCAGGAAGGCACTCATTAGGGCCTCGCGGTATTTTAAAAATACCTTACTTGGTTGACAGCATTTGAAAATTGGGAAATTTATTGTTAAACAAAATCTAGAATAACCAGTTTCTCTGGGGAATTACAAGATGGGATCATGAGACAGGTGGGTGGTTATCATGGCAACACTAGGCTGTGGGCGATGATCACACCTGGAGACAGGACACACAGGACCATGTCTCCAGGGCACCTGGCCTGCTGCCCTCCTGGCCCCCTAACCCAAGGAGTCACATACAGGTCAGTGACTGCTGGGGTGGGGGCTGGGGGGGGGTGTGCAATGGGGCTACCATTGGGGCAGAGCTTTCTGGGCCAGACCTTATAGCTACTTTTGCCAAACAAACACAGTTTTTAATTATGTTACAGGTCCATCAAAAACAATGCTTTCTAAATATTCATTAGATGTTATAATTATTATTTTAGTCATGATTATTTTGGGGGTAAATTGAACCGAATGTTCTAGAACACCCCAATCCCCAAAGGCCCAGCCCCTGTAGAGATGCCCCAAAGTGGAGATCAAGGCACGACTAGGAGAGAAAGACTGGGCCCCTCAGGCCTCCTGGCAAGTCATAGCCTGCCCCCTCCCCCCCTTCCCTCCCCCCCCCCCCCCCCCCCCCCGCACCGCTGCCACCCAGCACTGTGGTGTGAAGGCCTGGAAGGGTATAGGGAGCAGCCCCAAGGTGATTAGTGTCTGCCAAGCGTCCGGCCACGTGAGCATTGATGGAACCTGTCAGCTGTCAATCTTGGATGCCTCTTCAGTTTCCCTATAGTGGGATTGATCCTGAAGCCTAAGCCATGCAGAGACCCAACCACAGCCCAATCCTAGGAGGCCTGTCCCTCAAGCTGAGTTCCAGCCCTGGGTGGAAGACCACGGGATTCCCTGACACCAGCTCCGTCCTTCGAAGCTGCCTTGCTGTACTGATAGCCTACCTGGCCTAAAGGCCTCTACTCCTCCTGGTCCCTGGAGGCCCAGGAGAGCCCTCATCCACTCTCCCCTCCTCCCCGGAGCTCCTGCAGCTCACAGGCAGCCTGCTAAACAGGTAGCATGCCCTCACCCAGCCCTTTGGCTCCAGCCCTCATTACTGGCCCAGGCCCAGCCCAGGCCCAGACAACAAGCTGACCCATCTCCTGCTGTCCCTGTGCATAGCCCCCAGCCACGAGGAGAAGTCACCAGTCCTCCTTCCAGCCGTTCGTGGCAGATGGAGAAGACTTGCCCTGAGCAGAGGCTCCCCTACCTTGCCAGTGGGTGTCCGCAGGGATTTAATTTCCTGGCATTCCCTGTTTTGAGAGACTTTCCTGGAAGGCAGCTGAGACTACTTTCCTCATGTCTCAGGAGGCAGTCCCTGTTTCTTTTTAAAAACTATATTTTTAAATTGATTTCAGAGAGGAAGGGAGAGGGAGAGAGGGATAGAAACATCAGTGATGAGAGAGAATCATTGATCAGCTGCCTCCTGCACACACCCCACTAGGGATTGAGCCTGCAATCCGGACATGTGTCATGACCAGGAATTGAACTATGACTTCCTGGATCATAGGTTCATGCTTAACCACCGAGCAACACTCCCTGGGCTGTCTTTCCCCCTTTGGATGGTGTCTTATGTGCCTCAGTTTCCCCAGTGACCCACAGGTAATTAACTGCAGGGCTGTGAGGAGCCAGGCAAAGAGGCAATAGAAGGAAACACAGGACCCAGCAGGGAGAGTCAGGCTGTTTCCTTGGGAGCTGAGAGCTGGGCTGGAAGGAGAGGTAGATGAGCAGGGCCACTGGGTGGGGGAGCAGAAGCTAACCTGAGGTGACTGGCAGAGGAGCAGAAGCTGGCACAAAAGCCAGCTGTAAGTCTCTCACAGACATAACTAAAGTCATGGCTGGCTTGGCTCAGTGGATAGAGTGTAGGCCTGTGGACTGAAGAGTCCTGTGTTTGATTCCAGCCAGGGGCACATGCCCAGTTATCGGCTCGATCCCCAATAGGGGGTATGCACGAGACAACCTATCCACATTGCTCTCTCATTATTAGTGTTTCTATCTCTCTCTCCCTCTCCTTTCCTCCCTGAAATCAATAAATATAGATTTTTAAAAAGTCACTCACAGACACAACTAAAAGAAAATGAAGGAGGAGTTAACACAAATGGTGTAATGAGAGGTAATATGTAACTGCCAATAAAAAGAAACCAGGTGTAACAACATTTATGAGATAAAATATAATCCAAGGTATTAAAAAGACCAGCTGATAAATAATTCATTGAGAAGATGTAAACGATACCAAACAATGCACCTGGTAAAGCGTCAATCTGATACAAGGAGAAATAGACATGCCAGAGTTTTATGTGCATTTTAATGCATCTATTCCAGAAAGCAACGGATCAATTAGATGAAAGGCGAGGTGGGGATTTGAATTACTGAAACGAATTAATGTGTAAGCCCAACAACCAGAAAACGTGGCCTTTTCAAGTACACATGGA